GGGCGATGGGGCGAACACTGGTTCCACTATAGTCAGTGTTTAACAGTGTTAGACAGGATTAATGTCCACTCAGTCACTCTCATCATCCATACACTCATGCTCTAGTTGTTGATGTAGTTCTTCTTTGTGATTTGTTCGGTGCAGCCAATGCCACACTCTTCAATTCTTAGCCATGCTCTCCAAATAACCTCATCGCCATAACCTGAAGAGCATGATGTTTTGCTGCCATCTGCTGGCACCAGTTTAAATTGCACTTTGCTCCTTTTCTTCATTATTTATTATTTATTTTTTATTTAACCTTTATTTAACCAGGTATGCCAGTTGAGAACAAGTTCTCATTTACAACTGCGACCTGGCCAAGATAAAGCAAAGCAGTGCGATAGAAAACAACAACACAGAGTTACATATGGGGTAAACAAAACATAAAGTCAAAAATACAACAGAAAATATATATACAGTGTGTGCATTTACATTTAAGTCATTTAGCAGACGCTCTTATCCAGAGCGACTTACAGTTAGTGAATACATATTTTTTTAAATATATATTTTTATACTGGCCCCCCGTGGGAATCGAACCCACAACCCTGGCGTTGCAAACGCCATGCTCTATCAACTGAGCTACATCCCTGCCGGCCATTCCCTCCCCTACCCTGGACGACGCTGGGCCAATTGTGCGCCGCCCATGAGTCTCCCGGTCGCGAACCAGGATCTCTAGAGGCACAGTTAGCACTGCGATGCAGTGCCTTAGACCACTGCGCCACTCAGGAGTGTGCAAATGTAACAAGTGATGGAGGTAAGGCAATAAATAGGCCATTGTGAAAAATAATTACAATTTAGTATTAACACTGGAATGATAGATGTGCAAGAGATGATGTGCAAATAGAGATACTGGGGTGCAATTGAGCAAAATAAATAACAATATAGGGATGAGGTAGTTGGGTGGGCTAATTTCAGATGGACTGTGTACAGGTGCAGTGATCGGTAAGGTGCTCTGACAACTGATGCTTAAAGATAGTGAGGGAGATAAGTCTCCAGCTTCAGAGATTTTTGCAGTTCATTCCAGTCATTGGCAGCAGAGAACTGGAAGGAATGGAGGCCAAAGGAGGTGTTGGCTTTGGGGATGACCAGTGAGATATACCTGCTGGAGCGCATACTACGGGTGGGTGTTGCTATGGTGACCAATGAGCTAAGATAAGGCGGGGATTTGCCTAGCAGTGATTTATAGATGACCTGGAGCCAGTGGGTTTGGCGACGAATATGTAGTAAGGACCAGCCAACAAGAGCGTACAGGTCACAATGGTGGGTAGTATATGGGGCTTTGGTGACAAAACGGATGGCACTGTGATAGACTACATCCAATTTGCTGAGTAGAGTGTTGGAGGCTATTTTGTAAATGACATCGCCAAAGTCAAGGATCGGTAGGATAGTCAGTTTAACGAGGGCATGTTTGGCAGCATGAGTGAAGGAGGCTTTGTTGCGAAATAGGAAGCCGATTCTAGATTTAACTTTGGATTGGAGATGCTTAATGTGAGTCTGGAAGGAGAGTTTACAGTCTAACCAGACACCTAGGTATTTGTAGTTGTCCACATACTCTAGGTCAGACCCGCCGAGAGTAGTGATTCTAGTCGGGTGGGCGGGTGCAAGCAGCGTTCGATTGAAGAGCATACATTTAGTTTTACTAGTGTTTAAGAGCAGTTGGAGGCTACGGAAGGAGTGTTGTATGGTATTGAAGCTCGTTTGGAGGTTTGTTAACACAGTGTCCAATGAAGGGCCAGATGTATACATAATGGTGTCGTCTGCGTAGAGGTGGATCTGAGAGTCACCAGCAGCAAGAGCGACATCATTCATATACACAGAGAAAAGAGTCGGCCTGAGAATTGAACCCTGTGGCACCCCCATAAAGACTGTCATAGGTCCAGACAACAGGCCCTCCGATTTGACACATTGAACTCTATCTGAGAAGTAGTTGGTGAAACAGGTGAGGCAGTCATTTGAGAAACCAAGGCTATTTAGTCTGCCAATAAGAATGCGGTAGTTGACAGAGTCGAAAGCCTTGGCCACGTCGATGAAGACGGCTGCACAGTACTGTCTATTATCGATCGCGGTTATAATATCGTTTAGGACCTTGAGCGTGGCTGAAGTGCACCCATGACCAGCTCGGAAACCGGATTGCATAGCGGAGAAGGTACGGTGGGATTCGAAATGGTCGGTGATCTGTTTGTTAACTTGGCTTTCAAAAACTTTCGAAAGGCAGGGCAGGATGGATATAGGTCTGTAACAGTTTGGATCTAGAGTATCACCCCCTTTGAAGAGGGGGATGACCGCGGCAGCTTTCCAATCTCTGGGGATCTCAGACGTTACGAAAGAGAGGTTGAACAGGCTAATAATAGGGGTTGCGACAATTTCGGCTGCTAATTTTAGAAAGAAAGGGTCCAGATTGTCTAGCCCAGATGATTTGTAGGGGTCCAGATTTTGCAGCTCTTTCATAACATCAGCTGTCTGAATTTGTGTGAAGGACAAGCAGGGGGGGGGGTGCATGGGCAAGTTGCAGCGGAGGGTGCAGAGCTGGTGGCCGGGGTAGTGGTAGCCAGGTGGAAAGCATGGCCAGCCGTAGCAAAATGCTTGTTGAAATTCTCGATTATTGTAGATTTATCGGTGGTGATAGTGTTTCCTAGCCTCAGTGCAGTGGACAGCTGGGAGGAGGTGCTCTTATTCTTATTCTCCAGTGTCCCAAAACTTTTTGGAGTTAGTGCTACAGGATGCATATTTCTGTTTGAAAAAGCTAGCCTTTGCTTTCCTAACTGCTTGTGTATATTGGTTCCTAACTTCCCTGAAAAGCTGCATATCGCGGGGGCTATTTGATGCTAATGCAGTACGCCACAGGATGTTTTTGTGCTGGTCAAGGGCAGTCAAGTCTGAGGAGAACCAGGGGCTATATCTGTTCTTAGTTCTGAATTTTTTTAATGGGGTATGCTTATTTAAGATTGAGAGGAAAGCACTTTTAAAGAACAACCAGGCATCCTCTAGTGACGGAATGAGATCGATATCCATCCAGGATAACTGGGCCAGGTCAATTAGGAAGGCCTGCTCGCTAAAGTGTTTTAGGGAGCGTTTGATAGTGATGAGGGGTGGTCGTTTGACCGCGGACCCGTTACGGACGCAGGCAATAAGGCAGTGATCGCTGAGATCCTGGTTGAAGACAGTGGAGGTGTATTTAGAGGGTAAGTTAGTCAGGATGATATCTATGAGGGTGCCCATGTTTACGGATTTAGGGTTGTACCTGGTAGGTTCCTTGATCATTTGTGTGAGATTGAGGGCATCTAGTTTGGATTGTAGGATGGCCGGGGTGTTAAGCATACCCCAGTTTAGGTCACCAAGCAGTACGAACGCTGAGGATAGATGGGGGGCAATCAATTCACATATGGTGTCCAGGGCACAGCTGGGGGCTGAAGGGGGTCTGTAGCAAGCGGCAACAGTGAGAGACTTATTTCTGGAAAGGTGGATTTTTAGAAGTAGGAGCTCAAACTGTTTGGGCACAGACCTGGATAGTATGATAGAGCTATGCAGGCTCTCTCTACAGTAGACTGCAACTCCACCCCCTTTGGCAGTTCTATCTAGACGGAAAATGTTGTAGTTGGGGATGGAAATTTCTGAATTTTTGGTGGCCTTCCTAATCCAGGATTCAGACACTGCTAGAACATCAGGGTTGGTGGAGTGTGCTAACGCAGTGAATAACTCAAATTTAGGAAGGAGGCTTCTGATGTTAACATGCAAAAAGCCAAGGCTTTTACGGTTACAGAAGTCAACAAATGATAGCGCCTGGGGAGTAGGAGTGATACTGGGGACTGCAGGGCCTGGGTTAACCTCTACATCACCAGAGGAACAGAGGAGGAGTAGAATAAGGATACGGCTAAAGGCTTTAAGAACTGGTCTTCTAGTACGTTGGGTACAGAGAATAAAAGGGGCAGATTTCCGGGCGTTGTAGAATAGATTCAGGGCATTATGTACATACAAGGATATGGAAGGATATGAGTACAGTGGAGGTAAACCTAAGCGTTGGGTAACAATGAAAGAGATAGCATCACTGGAGGCACCGATTGAGCCGGTCTCCGCATGTTTGGGGGGTGGAACAAAGGAGCTATTTGAGGCAGTTTGAGAGGGACTTGAGGCTCTACAGTGAAATTGTATAATAAGAACTAACTGGAACAGCAATAGGCAAGGCATATTGACATGGGAGAGAGGCATAAAGCAATCACAGGTGTTATTCAAGAGAGCTAAGACAACAACTGGTAATGGCGATGAAAGTTTGGGCTGAGACTAAACAGATAAAACAGGACAGGGTACCGTGTAAAGGAACAGTCCAGCAGGCATCAGCTGTGCAGCTGAGTGATCATATGGTCCAGTGAACAGCAATGTGAGTCCGAGAGCAGTTCGAATTGGTGCTACAGCACAGGCGATCAGGAAGCATGGGTGTTGAATTGCGTGTGCTAGCGGGCCGGGGCTAACAGATTAATCTTCGTGGTCGTCGCAACGGGAAGCCTGTTGAAACCACAGACGATTACGTCGGCAGACCAGTCGTGATGGATCGGCAGGGCTCCGTGTCGACACTAGAAGGTCCCGTCCGGTTGACAGAGAGGTAGATAGCCGGGAGATGGGCCTGACTCGAGGCTAGCTCAAGGCTGATTAGCCAACCACAACATCCATTCGGTTGCAGCTAGCTAGTTGCGATGATCCGGTGTTAAAGGTCCAGTGATTCAGTGATTCCGGCAGAAAATCCAATATGTTCTGGGTCGATAATGCGCTGTGCAGACTGGCCGATAATAGAGCTGGCTGGTAGGTAGGTAGTGCAGGCCACGGACAATGGTGAAAAAAACCGCTAACGGTGGCTAATAGCAAGTAGACTTTGTTTGCTTTCAGTATTGATGCCATGGCATTGTTTGGTACTAAAGTAAATACAATGTAACTTATATAAATGCATTTGTGTTCTTTTTATCTTGTAGGATTCACCAGATTACACCAATGTGCAGGATCTGAAATATCTAGACATGGTCATATCAGAGGCTCTGCGACTCTATCCTCCTGGTTTCAGGTAAGAGCCTCTGTAAATCTTCTTTCCATACAGTATGATAGTATGATAGTATTAATAGTAGTGATACTATTGACATTATGTATGTTTAGAATGATTCCCAATCCCAACATAGCTTATTCTATTATTTCTACTACTGGACATTGTATTTTAGTTACACTGTTTATACACACTGCATATTTATTTATATACTGGATTCTTGACATAGCTCACTGTAATATATCTACTGCTGTACATATCATTCTGTGTTTAGCTTGTGTAAATTCCCCTGGTGTACATGTGTATAGATTGCATTTTGAAACTAATTGGATTCGTCCCACCGTTCTTGATTTCTTGCCTTTCTTTTTTGTTTATTTGTTTTCTTAACATTTTAGCTGTTTGACATTTGCATTGTTAGGCACTAGTAACATAGTAAAATAACATTTCACTGCACCGCTATAACACCTGCTAAACTATGTATGCGACCAATACAATTTTATTTGATTTTGAACTCTCTTATGTACTGGATATGGCCATGTCCCCCATGTTTCGATAGTTCACAATTCCTTATGTGCATTGTGGAAACTGAGCAGCCATTTTGTTTCAGATTTGCCCGGGATGTAGACGAGGACTGCATGGTCAATGGACAGTTCCTACCGAAGGGAGCCATTCTGGAGATCCCTGCAGGCTATCTACATTATGATCCAGAGTACTGGCCAGAGCCAGAGAAGTTTATCCCTGAGAGGTAGGAGACAGTCAGTCAGTCTACTGTAGCTCAGTATTCTTGTTCCATTACTATGGGTCTACCATAGAGATACCATAGAGAAGTCCCAGCACAGTTACATTGTTACACAGCACAGCTACACTCAGTCATTGCCTCACATTATGTCCCACTGTGGATGTTCTGTACAACATGGAGTGCTTTTACATTGACACAAGTTATAATACAATGATACAATACAGAATGCACATTCAAGTGTATTTGACTAGTACGTAATCAGAGTGTACTCCAGACTGACCACTGAGTCCTCTACTCTCTCCCATGCAGGTTCACAGCAGAGGCAAAGGCCAGCAGACACCCGTTTGTTTACCTGCCGTTTGGGGCGGGGCCCCGCAGCTGTGTGGGCATGAGGCTGGCCCAGCTGGAGATCAAGATGGCCCTGGTGCACGTCTTCAGGAAGTTCAACATCGTGGCCTGCACAGACACTAAGGTGGGTTCAACCTGTGATGGTCCTTCTTTTGGCACTTATCTCAACCTAAGTGTTTAAAGGTCATTTAGTTGATTTCATAAAAAAGGCCAAGATTCAATCAAACCATACTTCACTTGACGTTTAAAGGTAATTTACACTTGAGCAGACATCTGAGGCGTTTAGCGCAAATGCGATCTCTGAGAATGTCAGGGAAATTGACTTTAAAAGTCAAGTGCAGTGCAGCGTTGATGCAGTTTGTTTGTTTGAATCTCAGTTTGTCTCCCATGTAGACAGTACGCTCCATACTGTGACCTTGCTCTCTCTAACCATATATTGCTCTTTTATGTTGCAGGTTCCTCTGGAGTTGAAGTCTCACACCACTCTCGGTCCTAAGAATGGCATCTATGTGACAATCACTAAAAGAGAGACAGATGGAGAACCAGTGACTCACCCTGCAGAAGAAGAATAGAAGCTCTGTTCTCCTTTATCTGCTCTTATGACTCTTATGAAACTGATACATTATCCATCCAATGACTGCTTATTTTAAGGATAAACATAAAGTAGCATTAACCTAGCCTGGTCCCAGACCGGTTTGGCGTTGTCCCTTTAAATAGTTGGCAAGACAGCACAAACAGATCTAGGACCAGGCTAGCATTAACCTCTTCTTAACTAGAAATTCTAAATTAAAATGCCTATCCTCTGTCCCTGTGTCTTGATCCCCAATGGACTGGGCTGAAGATCTGGACTGAATGTGAAGTGAACAGAGGAGCAGCAGCATTACTATGCTCCCATGGTAAATGACAATTAGCCAGGGGCGGCTCACCTTTTAAACAGGCAGTGTGCTGGACAGAGGTCAACACCTCATCAAGGCCCCTGAGGCCCCTGCCAATGGCACATCGAGCGTCACGGTGATTCTGCAGGACTAGCAAGAGAGAGCGATAGAGAGAGAAGCAGGCTGGGCGAAATCACGTTGCTCATGTCTCCGCCCTAAAAATGGGAGTCGTTGTCCCAAAGGTGGGAAGGCAGGCGACAAGTTTAGGTCCAAAATAAGTCCATAGAAACGCATTGGGCTTATTTGGGCGAGAGTGAAACCTCTCGCTTCGCCTCTTCCTCTCTGGCTGGGGGGAGGGGAAGACTGTGGAAAAGGCTTCTGATTACAATAGAACAACACACTTTGACCTCTGTATAAATTCATATTGGACTATTGATATTAACATGCCCGTGAACTATTAAATCATCACTGTATGTCTAATAAATCACAATGTGTGTTTATTTCATGAAAATAACAGTTTATCATTTATTACCCCGAGCCTCCTTTTGCCATCGAAATGCTGTCTGATCGTGTGGGGGCGTGTTGATACAAATGTAAATATATTTACATACACAGCCCTGATTGGCGGGTAGGATCGTCTAGACTCTAGAGGCTAACTGTGCCACTAGAGATCCTGGTTCGAATCCAGGCTCTGTCGCTGCCGGCCGCGACCAGGAGACTCATGGGCGGCGCACAATTGGCCCAGCGTCGTCCAGGGTAGGGGAGGGAATGGCCGGCAGGGATGTAGCTCAGTTGATAGAGCATGGCGTTTGCAACGCCAGGGTTGTGGGTTCGATTCCCACGGGGGGCCAGTATAAAAAAAATATGTATTCACTAACTGTAAGTCGCTCTGGATAAGAGCGTCTGCTAAATGACTAAAATGTAAATGTAAATGTAGAGCCTACCATGCTTACCCCTTCAAAGTAGGAGGATACAGAAGCAAATAAAGGATGACTGGTCATTGGTCAGAATAATCAGAAAATATTGTGATATCATGCTGTGGGCCAAAAACGTTGCCCCATTTTCACAATTCCAGTGTTATTTCGACCTCATAGTGTGGAAATATCGTTGGAAAATCCCATTTTTGACTGCGCTGCCCCTTTAAAGGGATAGTTCACCCAAATTACAAAATAACATTTTGGATTTCCTGTAAGCTATCTATGGACAAGGTAAGACTGTGATCCATGCTTTGGTTTTGTTTACCTGGCCAGTCTCCAAATGCTATGCAATAACCTTGTCCAAAGACTGTTTACTGGATAAAGTAATTAATGTTATTTTGTAATTTGGAGGAACTATCACTTTAAGGATTTGCAAAGTCTCTACCAACTGCTCTGTGGTAAACAAGCGAGTATAATCTTTGCAAGAATCCTCGCAATCATCCATCCAATCAATCATAATATTGTATTGTAACAGTTCAGGCATTGACTCAATGTTATGTCATGGTCCAAACAGACCAAGACAGTCGTGAAGAGGGCACGACAACACCTTTTCCCCCTCAGACTATTTAAAAATTTTTATTGTCATTTTAGCAGACGCTCTTATCCAGAGCGACTTACAGTTAGTGAGTGCAGACATTATTTTATTTTTCATAATGGCCCCCCATGGGAATCCCTGCCGGCCATTCCCTCCCCTACCCTGGACGACGCTGGGCCAATTGTGCACCGCCCCATGGGTCTCCCGGTCGGCTACGACAGAGCCTGGACAGAGCCTCGTTATTGTTATTTTATTGTGTTACTTTTTTCTTTAGTAAATATTTTCTTAATTCGATTAACTGCATTATTGGTTAAGGGCTTGTAAGTAAGCGTTTCACGGTAAGGTTTACACCTTGTATTCGGCGCATGTGACAAATAAAATTTGATGACTTCAGTCTTTGCCTCGCATTGATTTGCTAATCTTTCATCTATAAAATGCTGCTACGATTTCCATGATGTTAATATTCATAGGATCATGACTTGAGAGAAGAGATCTGCTCCTACCGTTTCTAATGGCCTCTTCAGTTGAAAAGCTCGGATGTCACTGTGTATGATTTTTTAAGCTTGATTGTATACCTTTTTTACTCATGGGATGATGTAACTTACGTTGATTTGGAGTGTTGCTCTGCTATTTTATGTTGCATATATTCATCGAATGTGATCAAATCAGGGAAAGAAGATGTGTAACCAGTATAATGTCTGAAATATTCCATATTTTTTTGATTGAAAGGTAAAATTATGACATGCTATGAAAGAGTAAATGCAATGGTGAAATAAATGTTAAAATGGGACATATCCTTAATAAAGTTTTATTCCATTATGTGCACACTGTAGAACTTTGGAAACAGAAATATCAAGTTGACAGTATGCTACAGTATGTGATATATTTTTTTCTCAGAACAAGAATAGACTGACGAGTTTCAGAAGAAAGATCTTTGTTTCTGGCCATTTTGAGCCTGTAATCGAACCCACAATTGCTGATGCTCCAGATGCTCAACTAGTCTCAAGAAGGCCCGTTTTATTGCTTCTTTAAATCAGCACAACAGTTTTCAGCTGTGCTAACATAATTGCAAAAGTGTTTTCTAATGATCAATTAGCCTTTTAAAATGATAAACTTGGATTAGCAAACACAACGTGCCATTGGAACACAGGACTGATGGTTGCTGATAATGGGCCTCTGTACGCCTATGTAGATATTCCATTAAAAATCTGCCGTTTCCAGCTTCAATAGCCATTTACAACATTAACAATGTCTACACTGTATTTCTGATCAATTTGAGAGAAAACAAAAACAGTCATTATAATAAAATCATACAATTCTGGCTACGTAGGATTTAGTACAAATTAATGTGAAAAGACCCTATGACCTTGGTATAAGTCACCAAAACAGTAGCTTTCCACCCAGTTAAAGAGAAACCCCTAAACTGTTTTCATATTCTGTCCTTTTCAGAAGGATGATTTTCAAAGAATGTTTTCCCACCACAATAATGGATGCATTTTGCAACGTGTCCAAAAGGTACTTCATGAGCACACAATTAGTTGTTTTCAGCAAAACATGACGCTACACACTCCTGCGGATTCTAGGAGTACTCAATGATGAACTCTGGGTAAATCTGCTGTTTCTCAAACACGACAAAAATGGCTGGGTCGCTTTCTGAGTCGACACAGCTGTCGTAGAGGCCCTTGCTGGTGCCTTTCTGAGGGGGGCGAAGGTAGTCCCGGTTTCCCTTAGTGAACTCACCGACCAGCACCAGAGCCACAAACATGATCTTCTTGCCAGAGACCGGAGACTTGGAGAATCTATTAGAGTACAGGGCATCTCTGGCAAAATAGCTTCCTGGAAAATAATCGTAAATGTTAGAGTAAAACTAAAACATTCTTAGAAAGTTTCTCAGAAGCAGTGGATATTAGATATTTGTCATTGATACAGCTGTATAAAACATTCACCTTTGCCATAAAGTGATCCATGGACGCCACAGACCCTCCAGTCAAAGTTCTGTTCACAGATGGCATCTATGATAGACAGTTCTGTGCCGTGGAACAAGTGTCTCTCATCCACAGGTTTCCCTCCATTCTTCGCCTTCATCTGTTCCTTCTGCCTAGCCACAAACACACCAACCAACACATCCATGAGGCGCTCCTATACGTGGACAGTTTAAAACCTAATGTTCACTCTGCACTCAAATGTTATCGTCTTTACCACTAAACCACATAAAAACTAAAACCACAAAAGGGGTGGTAGTATTTCAGGTCTTAGAAAGATGGCATCAGTGTGTCATGCTAGGGCAGCTACAACTAACGTACAACTGTCTCACTACTACAGTAACATCCTATACAGTACATACCACTGGAAGACCCTCCAGAGTGAGGGATTCTGGATCCTGTTGATTTTGTGGATGGTGCTGGTGCGCATGGTACGTTTGAACAGACTCTGCACCATTTGATACTCTGTCGTCAGGCCTAAGAGTGGAACCAGCTGAAGGAAACAGTTGAATAATTTGGATTTTGTGTGTGTATGCATGCATACTGTGCCTAATAGGGTTGCAAAATTCTTGGAACTTTTATTAAAGGAATATCCTGTGTAGCTCAGTTGGTAGAGCATGGCGCTTGCAACGCCAGGGTTGTGGGTTCGATTCCCACGGGGGACCAGTATGAAAATGTATGCACTCACTAATTGTAAGTCTCTCTGGATAACAGCGTCTGCTAAATGACAAAAATCTCAAATCTAATATGCAGGAAATCCAGAATCGTCCAACCAGGATTTCAGAAAACCAGGGAAATGTATTGAAAGTTCACAGAATTTTAGTGCTAGTCTGCACACCCCTTGTACAGTCATTTGCTGCTTTAAAATTAAATACATAAAAATATTAAATTAGATTTGTCCTATCGATGTACTCAACCTACTCCACATTTCCAAAGTGAAAGAAAAATTATAGAACATTTTCCAAATGAATAAAAAATAAACATAAACAAAGCCCAGATAAAAAGTTAAAGGGACAACCTGCCTCAGTCTTCTGAAAACCTAACCCTTGGATAGTTTTATTTTTCAGTGGGACAATTACACAAGTTTTTATGCCAAAGACATACCAGAATGGCTTTCCAAGAGGTGTCGAGTGTTCCTGAGTAGTCCAGTCTCAGTGCTGACTTAAATTTGCTTGAAAATCAGAGACAAGGTTTTGGAATATTGCTGTCCATCAATAACTCCCAACCAAATTTAATGAGCTTGAGCAATTTTGACAACAAATATGGATAAATGTTGCCCTAAGAGTTGTGCAAAGTTGGTAGAATCTTATTCAAAAGGATTCACAGCTGTAATGGCTGCTATTTCTTTCTTTCACTGTGGAAATGTCGAGTAGGTTGTGTGGATCAGTTTTTAAAAAATAAGTAATTTATTCCCTTTTGAGGTTAAATTTTAAGGCACATAAATGTGAATAATACTGTGCAAGGGGTGTGTAAACTTTCACTAGCGACTGTATGTGTGTGTGTAACAGTATCAGCATATTATGACTGGGAGTACCTTGTATGTGAAGTCAGGCAGTGCTCCCTTGTCCCAGTGTGGAGGTACAGACACAGTAGAAGAGCTGGTGCTCTCTGGAGATACACTACCATGGAGACAGAAACACAGGAAATTCAAAAGGGAAGCTTTTGGTTGATTCAGACAGATATCCAATAGGACTTCCTCTATGATTTCCTGAACTACAACATTTACATTTCAGAATCACTGCCCCTTTTGAAAGGGATCACATTTGAGATGATAAACTAGTAAACTTGTGTCATGGAAATTACCACCAGGGACACCAAGTCAAACTTAAAATAATAATGATTTATTAACAGCAAGCTGGAGAGATCACAGTCAAACTTAGATGCATAAAGTACCGGTCTGAAGTGAGCTCTGCCAGGGCAGTCTCGTTAGTTCTCTTATATACTGCTTACACAGAAAAGCTACATAGGCATGGTTCATAGGGTTGGTTCCTGCATGTGACTGGCACCGTCTCCTATCTTAACTTATAGAACATATTCTGGGCGTTCTGCCAAAAGGTCTGAGGAGGGGGTCATGACCGTCTCCCCCTCATATCTCTATCCAGCACCTACAGGAATGATTGTATGAGACAAGATGTACAATTCAAGGCTCTCTCTTCAGACAACAATATTTCCCTCACACTTGTACAATCTTTAGTAGTATTACGGTCAGTAAATATCCTGATGAGGTTTTGAAGGAAAACATGAAATACTATTGCACTGAAGGATTTCGCTCTAACAGAAGTTATAACATGAGGAACATGAATGAAGGTGTGGGAGGACATTAACATTACATAGGCCTAGAGTATAATCATGGACAGTCACAATAGGTCTACTGTACCTCTTCAGCTTGGCCTCCACATCCTGTCCAGAGAGAAAGCAGGGTCTTCTACGAACCTCTCTTTTGGTTTTGAATCTAATATTCTCCTGATACATCTCTGAAATAGAGAACATAACTAAATGCATTTAGTATGACAAAATACAGTTTACAGGGTGTTTGCTTACAAACATTTAACCAGGTAAGTTATTGAAAACAAATTATATTTTACAATAATGTCAAATAGCTGCTGAAAGGCTATTTAGTTGTCCCAAACTGTTTACAGTACCTTTGAAATAGAGAATGTACTGGTGACGTCCAGATCCAAATGGAATCTCACTGACCGAGTCAGCTTGGTAAACATTCTCCAGGGTCTGGGAGGTGACAGAGGCCACTTTCTCCTTACCATCGTAAATCTACATAGAATACGAACAAGGCTCAGATAAACCCACAATGAAAACATTTCCTAACACATTCAACGGTAACACTGTGATCACTACAATAACAGCATTGCTCAACTCCATTACTATGCAATTATAAGATCTACTTCATTATCAATTAACTTAACAGAGAACAGAAATGTGACTTTATGCACAACCCAACCCCCCCGAGCACACACACAGACACATACACCGAAGGGCTGGAAACAAATGGGTCAGCCGCAGTGTAGTGCCACTGGAGCAATTATAGATGGTTACAGTGAGGGAAAAAAGTATTTGATCCCCTGCTGATTTTGTACATTTGCCCACTGACAAAGACATGATCAGTCTATAATTTTAATGGTAGGTTTATTTGAACAGTGAGAGACAGAATAACAACAAAAAAATCCAGAAAAATGCATGTCAAACATTTTATAAATTGATTTGCATTTTAATGAGGGAAATAAATATTTGACCCCTCTGCAAAACATGACTTAGTACTTGGTGGCAAAACCCTTGTTGGCAATCACAGAGGTCAGACATTTCTTGTAGTTGGCCACCAGGTTTGCACACATCTCAGGAGGGATTTTGTCCCACTCCTCTTTGCAGATCTTCTCCAAGTCATTAAGGTTTCGAGGCTGACGTTTGGCAACTCGAACCTTCAGCTCCCGCCACAGATTTTCTATGGGATTAAGGTCTGGAGACTGGCTAGGCCACTCCAGGACCTTAATGTGCTTCTTCTTGAGACACTCCTTTGTTGCCTTGGCCATGTGTTTTGGGTCATTGTCATGCTGGAATACCCATCCACGACCCATTTTCAATGCCCTGGCTGAGGGAAGGAGGTTCTCACCCAAGATTTGACGGTACATGGCCCCATCCATCTTCCCTTTGATGCGGTGAAGTTGTCCTGTCCCCTTAGCAGAAAACCCCCCCCAAAGAATATTGTTTCCACCTCCATGTTTGACGGTGGGGATGGTGTTCTTGGGGTCATAGGCAGCATTCCTCCTCCTCCAAACACGGCGAGTTGAGTTGATGCCAAAGAGCTCGATTTTGGTCTCATCTGACCACAACACTTTCACCCAGTTCTCCTCTGAATCATTCAGATGTTCATTGGCAAACTTCAGACGGGCCTGTATATGTGCTTTCTTGAGCAGGGGGACCTTGCGGGCGCTGCAGGATTTCAGTCCTTCACGGCGTAGTGTGTTACCAATTGTTTTCTTGGTGACTATGGTCCCAGCTGCCTTGAGATCATTGACAAGATCCTCCCGTGTAGTTCTGGGCTGATTCCTCACCGTTCTCATGATCATTGCAACTCCACGAGGTGAGATCTTGCATGGAGCCCCAGGCTGAGGGAGATTGACAGTTATTTTGTGTTTCTTCCATTTGCGAATAATCGCACCAACTGTTGTCAACTTCACACCAAGCTGCTTGGCGATGGTCTTGTAGCCCATTCCAGCCTTGTGTAGGTCTACAATCTTGTCCCTGACGTCCTTGGAGAGCTCTTTGGTCTTGGCCATGGTGTTGAGTTTGGAATCTGATTGATTGATTGCTTCTGTGGACAGGTGTCTTTTATACAGGTAACAAACTGAGATTAGGAGCACTCCCGTTAAGAGTGTGCTCCTAATCTCAGCTCGTTACCTGTATAAAAGACACCTGGGAGCCCGAAATCTTTCTGATTGAGAGGGGGTCAAATACTTATTTGCTTCATTAAAATGCAAATCAATTTATAACACTTTTGACATGCGTTTTTCTGGATTTTTTGGTTGTTATTCTGTCTCTCACTGTTCAAATAAACCTACCATTAAAATTATAGACTGATCATTTCTTTGTCAGTGGGCAAACGTACAAAATCAGCAGGGGATCAAATACTTTTTTCCCTCACTGTAAGTGCATTGTGAGGGCACAACGGCAGGTGATGGTATCTAGGATGATACTAACAACCCTCCGGTTGCAAGCTCACTCCGCACCAGATTTTCCTGTCTGAGCTGGATTCACATCCCGCTTCTCTAACCACTAGGCTACCTGCTGCTAGTTATAATGCAGTTACTAAAGTACGACGTAACATGTTAATACAATTGTCTGTGCAATTATTTCTGTTGTTCTCTGAAGGACAGGCATTAGAAGTATTAATTGGACCTACCTCCTGGCCATACTCTATCCACTGTCCCAGCTCATCCGCCCAGTACCACAGCCATTCTGTGGTAAGGATGAAGTGAGGAGGTTTGGTGACGGACGACACAGTGGACAGACGACGCACTGGAGACCTTCCACATGTCATGGTGAGGAAGTTCACTGGCTGGCTACCTTCACTAGGGACAACAGAGAGAGAATGCTGTACTATCACTAACAGTCAAATAAAATAACATTTTGTCACATGCGAACACAACAGGTGTAGACTTTAACGTGAAATACTTACTTACGAGCCCTTTCCTAACAATGCAGAGATAAAAAGTATGAAAAATAAAAAAAATAGTCACAATAAAATAACGAGACTATAAACAGGAGTAGCGGTACCAAGTCAATGTGCAGGGGTACGAGGTAGTTGAGGTAATATTTACATGTGACTAGGCAATCAGGATAGATAATAAACAGAGTATCAGCAGCGTATGTGAAGAGTGAAAAAGTGTGAAAGTGTGTATGTGGTTTCAATATGCATGTGTGTGTGGTGTTGAACGCTGAGCTGTAGTCAATGAACAGCATTCTCACGTAGGTGTTCCTTTTGTCCAGGTGGAAAAGGGCAGTGTGGAGTGCAATAGAGATTGCATCATCTGTGGATCTTTTGGGGCGGTATGCAAATTGGAGTGGGTCCAGGGTGTCTGGGATGATGGTGTTGATGTGAGCCATGACCAGCCTTTCGAAGCATTTCATTGCTACAGATTAAGTGTTACGGGGCGGTAGTCATTTAGACAGGTTACCTTGGCGTTCTTGGGCACAGGGACTATGGTGGTCTGCTTTAAACATGCATGTATTACAGACTGGGTCAGGGAGAGGTTTAAAATGTCAGTGAAGACACTTGCCAGCTGGTCAGTGCATGCTCCGAGTACGCGTCCTGGTAAACCGTCTGTGAATGTTAACCTGTTTAAAGGTCTTACATTGGCTACAGAGAATGTGATCACACAGTTGTCCGGAACAGCTGGTGCTCTCATGCATGGTTCAATGTTGCTACCCTCGAAGCAAGCATAGAAGGCATTTAGCTCGTCTGGTAGACTTGTGTCACTGGGCAGCTCACGGCTGGGTTTCCTTTTGTAATCCGTGATAGTTTACAAGCCCTACCACATCCGACGAGCGTCAGAACAGGTGTAGTAGGATTGGATCTTAGTCCTGTATTGACACTGCTTATTTGATGGTTCGTCTGAGGGTGTAGCGGGATTTCTTAAGCGTCCTGATTAGTGTCCCAATCCAAGAAAGCGGCAGCTCTAGTCTTTAGCTCAGTGAGGATGTTGCCTGTAATCCATGGCTTCTGGTTGGGATATGTAGGTACGGTCACTGCGGGGATGACGTCGTCGATGCACTTATTAATGAAGCCGGTGACTGATGTGTTAAACTCCTCAATGCCATCAGATGAATCCCGGAACATATTCCAATCTGTGCTAGCGAAACAATCCTGTATCTTAGCACCCGCTTCATCGGACCACTTCCGTATTGAGCGCGTCACTAGCCGAGTGTAGTACATTAAATAGGATTTTGTTTGTATTTCAAAAAAGAAAAGAAACAACAGATCTGATATGATGACAACTGTACCTTGTATCTTTTCCTGGGATACAGTAGGCCCTTTCAATCTCCTCCACATTGGGCAGGTCTCTCCATGTCACTCCATCTCCCTCTAAGATCTGCCATTTGTAAGGCAGGTGGTAGTGGATACGGACACACTTCTCTGACATAACACAGCCACAGAAACACATGTAAACACTTCAAACACAGTACTGTAAACTAAAATGCTAAAGTAGGTTTAGGTTTAGGTTTATGTTACCTTTGAAGCTGCAGTGTCTGCGGATGAAGAAGAGGCAGATTTCGTTCCTGTCAGTCTCACTGATGGAGCAGGACGAAGGCTGACGAGAACGCACTTTCCCAACTGGCGCTATGGCTGGAGCAGGGGAGGGTACTACTACTAGACACAGGACAGACACGGTTACTACATTTTAATTATATTTTCATTGATTCTACCTTGTCATTTCCTTACCAGCTGGCTTTTCTTTGTGACCCTGACCGATGATGATGAATTTGTTCTTGTAGATCTTGTCGAGGATCCTGATGTTCTCGTCGCTGAATCCTCTGCCATTTAGGATCTTCATGGCAGTGGCATCAAATGTGTGGGCCCTCTTACATCCAGCACCAAACCTACAGTCTCCCTGGAGGAAGTGCAGGCAGAGGTGGAGGCTGGTGCAACTGGTTTTAAACTTGCAGGAGCCATGCTCACCAACGCCCTTGTTGTAATGGGAGCAGATCTGGAAACAGTTGAAAGGAGATGGTCAAACATCCAGATACTACTGTAGACTACATGCAATTAACATTTGGCAGGCCTACATGAATGCATGCATATCTATACAAGTCTAACAGGACTAACTGTGAATGTGAAACTGGCAAAAGCCAGTCACCCCATTGGTACATGTCTAGACCTGAAATAAGTTTGATATGTGTAACAATATGGCAGGTGAAATGAGGGCAATGGAAGGTATACCCTTAAATGGCAGGTAATCCAAGAAAGAAAATAAGTAGGCGGCCAGTACGATGCAAAAAACGTCACTGAACTATTTACAGAGAATAAATAAGTAGGAGTAGATCAGCCTATAGTTTACACAGGTATCTGCAGGTTCCATGAGGTTGAATTTAAGACTTAAGACCTTTTTAACGGCACTTGGAATGCAATGTAATACAAATTCTGGAGGTCTGCGCACACCACATACCTGCTAATATTCCCCTCCAGGAATGAGCCCATGTTTGCGAAAAGTAGTATTTTCACCAAAGGCTATAGCCTACATGGCTCATATTATCAGGCAGGTGCGCTTTTTTTGCAATGAGCATTCTCCTGTAGCCTAATGAATGTAGTAGCATAGTGGCTATAAATGGCTAAAGCATGGAGTTGCCCATCTGTATTTGTTTAGGCTACCCCAATGGGCTAATCATTAGCTAGATCACAAACTATGTTTTCAGAATTTTAGCTTCAAAACCAATACCAGCTATAATGATCCTCAATAACATAACGATACCACTATGAAAAAATGCCTTAGTCAAATATACTGTTACTGTATAGAACATGTGGTCAGCTCTCCATCTGTGCAGGCTTTTGATCCAGCCTTGCTTAAACACACCCGAGTCAGCTTGACAAGCTTGACAAGGTCCTGTTGAGCAGTTGATTTGCAAATTGAGCAGTTGACAACCAAAAAGTATTATAAATAATACCCACATTCAGTGAATAGGTATCAGATGGCTATACTTTGAAGCAATGTACTTAAGCTCTAGACTGACTTTTTCCAGTGCCAAGTAAGACATGAAAGAAGTTAGTTATTTAATCGGGAATGCATGTCAAATGTCAAAATAGAGATTAAATTGCCTTCATGTTTTTTGTGCATATTGGCCTAGGCTATATTTTACATAATTTAACACCTGAGGAAGTGGGAACTCAAAACACATTAGCTAGATTGCTAACTTCAAATATGATATTGTTGCTAGATAGCAATGCAAGTGATCTAACAGTACATTTAATGTCCTACAAAACCATTCCATTGGTAGGCCTATATAGGATACTTGATGTACAAATTCTCCTCAGCAGTTCAGAGATGTGCTCCTACTTAAGTCAGCTATTCTTTGTAAATATTTTCTTTAAATAGTTCACTAAAGTTGAACATGTAACATGTAATTTACATGATGTGATTAAATGTTGAAACTAAGTTGCAAGCTACTTTCGCAGCAAGGTGTTGTAACGAGTGTCTTATGAAACACATTCCAGACACTGGCACTTGCCATCTTTCCATAACTGATTTGACAGAGAAATATCAGCTAAATAGGATAGCCAGTTCATCCGCAATGCGGGGCATTTAAGCCCTTAAAGATGCCTGACAGGCAGCTCTGTCTCCCAGGCTGCGTGCTGCCCCGAAGACCACAGCCATGCAAGGAACAATGCAGCTAGCTTGGCTGGTCTTGTGAGCTAGCTAGTTAGCTAGGTGGTCTTGTTGGCTGGCTAGCTAGCTAGCTTATTATCTATGCTGGTTATTAGCTTGCATAACTGATATGTGTATAATTTAAAAAGGGACACGTAATGTTTTGTGGATAATATTTACATTTACAGTGGCTGAGCAACATTCCGGTCAGGCTGATCAGATTCAATTTCAGCCTCAGTAGGCTCATAAGTCAGGATGGTGCCAGGCAAGGAGGGTGGTGCGGCCAGCCCAACGCTTCACAGGGGGCACTCTGCCTGCCCTCCAGGACAACTACAGCACCCGGTGTCACAGGAAGGCCAAGAAGATCATCAAGGACCTCAACCACCCAAGCCACGACCTGTTCACCCCACTACCATGTACAAGGCAGAGACAGTACAGGTGCATCGAAGCTGGGATCGAGAGACTGAAAAACAGCTTCTATCTCCAGGCCATCAGACTGTTAAATAGTTACCACTAGCCGGCCTGCGCCCAGTAGCCTTCCCTGAACTTAGTCACTGTTACTAGCTGGCTACCACCCAGTACTCTACCCTGCACCTTAGAGATTTATGCCCTATGTACATAGTCAAGGCTGCGTTGAGACAATTACTTATCAGTGGCCCAAGCCCTGCTCAAATAATCCCTACCATTGTGTCGCTGAGTTGTCATAATGCTGCTGCAAATGTACATTGTCCCGGGACGTTGGTAGACATAATGTAACCTAATCTATGTCCCTCTAACTCCCCTGAATGCCTCTGTCAATCCTACTGTATGCTGTAATCATGCGCCTATGAACCGGAGTTAGACTGTTAGCACTGAGGTGGTTTGCCCTAGCAGGAAGTCCACTGTGTACAGCTCACTCTGCACTATCCGCTCAAACATAAATATGACTGTCATGTATACCTCTGATAAGCCTCCCAGTAAAGCAATAAAAACAATCAAGAATCTCAGAAAAGTGCTAAAAATAGCCCACATTAACATATGTAGCCTAAGAAACAAGGTAACAAATAACATTCATATACTATCTCTGAAACTCACTTAGATAATAACTTTGATACAGTGGTATTAATACATGGTTTCAACATCTTCAGAAGAGATAGGAATGCCAATAGTGGAGGTGTTGCAGTTTATGTTAAGTCATATTCCTGTAAAGCTTAAGAGAGGATCTCATGTCAAATGCTGTTGAAGTAATATGGCTACAGGTTCATCTGCCTCACCTAAAGCCCATTCTTGTGGGAAGTTGCTATAGACCACCAAGTGCTAACAGTCAGTATCTGGATAATGTGTGTGAAATGTTTGATAATGTATGTGATATCAACAGAGGGGCATATTTTCTGGGTGACCTAAATATTGACTGGCTTTCGTCAAGCTGCCCACTCAAGAAAAAGCTTACAAAACTCTTACCAGTGCCTGCAACCTGGTTCAGGCTATCAGTCAACCTACCAGTGTATTTGCAAACAGCACAGGAATGACATTTACATTTACATCATTTAGCAGACGCTCTTATCCAGAGCGACTTATAAATTGGTGCATTCAACTTATGATAGCCAGTGGGACAACCACCTTTTGTTTTTCTTTTTATGGGGGGGGGGGGGGGGGGGGGGGGGGGGGGGAGAATCATCCACATGTATTGATCACATCTTTACTAATGCTGCAGAAATCTGCTCTAAAGCAGTATCCAAATCCACTGGATGTAGTGATCATAATATAGTAGCCATATCTAAGAAAACCAAAGTTCCAAAGGCTGGGCCTAATATAGTGTATAAGAGGTCATAAAATACGTTTTGTAGTGATTCCTATGTTGAAGATGTAAAGCATATGTGCTGGTCTGTGGTGTGTAATGAGGAGCAACCAGATGCTGCACTTGACACATTTATTCCAGTTACTTATAAGCATGCACCAATTAAGAAAGTGACTGTAAAAACTTTAATCCCCATGGATTGATGAGGAATTCAAAAATGGTATGGTTGAGAGGGATGAGGCAAAACAAATGGAAAATAAGTCTGGCTGCACAGCCGATTGGAAAACGTACTGTAAATTGAGAAATAATGTGACTACACTGAACAAAAAGAAGAAGAAACTGTACTATGAAACAAAGATAAATTATATGAAGAATAATAGTAAAAAGCCTTAAATGAAATTTTGGGCAAAAAGGCGAACTCGACTCCATTATTCATTGAATCAGATGGCTCATTCAACCACTGATATTGCCAACTACTTTAATGATTTTTTTCATTGGCAAGATTAGCAAATTTAGGCATGACATGCCAACAACATATTATGAACCTACACATCCATGCATATCTGACCAAATTATGATTTCCGTAAAGTGAGTGTGGAGGTGAAGAAATTGTCTATCAACAATGACAAGCCACCTGGGTCTGACAACTTGGATGGAAAATTACTGCAAATGATAGCGGACAATATTGCCACTCCTATTTGCCATCCCTTCAATCTAAGCCTACAGGAATGTGTGTGCCCTCAGGCCTGGCAGGAAGCAAAGCACCCTTTACTGGCTCAAACAGCCGACCAATCAGCCTGTTACCAACCCTTGACCAGATACAATGCTATTTCACAGTAAACAAATTAACAAAACAGCACACTTATAGGGTAGGGCATTCAACATGTACGGCACTTACACAAATGACTGATGATTGGCTGGGAGATTGATAATAAAAAGATTGTGGGAGCTGTTTTGTTAGACTTCAGTACAGCTTTTGACATTATCGATCATAATCTGCTGCTGGAAAAACATGTGTTATGGCTTTACATCCCCTGCTATATTATGGATCGAGAGTTACCTGACTAACAGAACATAGAGCCTCTCCAACATAATCCAGGTAGAGTCAGGCATTCCCCAGGTCAGCGGTCTAGGTCCCTTAATTTTTTCAATCTTTACTAATGACCTGTCACTGGCTCTGAGTAAAGCTTGTGTGTCTATGTATGCTAATGACTCAACACTATACACATCAGCTACCACAGCAAATGAAATCACTGCAACACTTAAAGAGCAGCAGTCAGTTTCAGAATGTGTGGCAAGAAATATGTTAGTCCTAAATATTTCAAAAACTAAAAGCATTGTATTTGGGAGAAATCATTCACTAAACCCTAAACCTCAACTAAATATTGTAATGAATAATGTGGAAATTGAGCAAATTGAGGAGACTAAACTGCATTGAGTAACCCTGGATTATAAACTGTCATGGTCAAAACATGATGCAAAAGTAGCTAAGATGGGGAGAGGTCTGTCCATATTAAACCACTGCTCTGCCTTCTTATTTTGTACATAATGTTGCTGCTACCGTCTCTTATGACCGAAAAGAGCTTCTGGACATCAGAACAGCGATTACTCACCTTGAACTGGACGAAGGATTTTTCTTTTATGAGTCGGACGAGAGGGATTTGCTCCAGACACCCGACAGGGCCCTCATCCCCGGCATTCGCAGTAGAAAGAAAAGGAGATATCGCAGAAGGAGATCGGGGTGCTTGGTAAGGATCCAGCGACGAGTGGCTAATCTGCCTTTGCCATCGATACTATTGGCCAAATTACAAATCACTTGATAATAAAATGGACGAACTACAGACACGAATATCCTACCAACGGACATAAAAAACAGTAATATCTTATGTTTCACCGAGTCGTGGCTGAACGACGACATGAATAACATACAGCTGGCAGGTTATACACTGTATCGGCAGGATAGAACGGCAGCCTCTGGTAAGACAAGGGGTGGCGGTCTATGTATATTTTTAAACAACAGTTGGTGCACGATTGATAGATTAATTATTAATGACTAATTATTACACCCAGAAACTGTGTGAAATGTGTTAGAATGTGTGAGTGTAGGACCAGTAAAGACTATGACATTGAGCTACTATTCAGCAATGTGAGTAAGAGTTAGACCAGACAACAAAGGAGAACTGTCTAAACCAAGATAAAGGGGCCTCCCAATTTAGAGAGGAGAGAAACTGTTACGCTTTTTGAGGAGTATGCAGGATATTGTGAGGATGCGATAACTGAAGTTTGCCACCTGGCCGAGCAAGGAGTAGGAAAAGATAAGAACAGTGTGAGACCTAATGGTCAGGAGAGCAGAGGAAAAACATGAGCTGAACCGAAGTGTGTGTGTGCTTACAAGATGTGTATAGTGGAAAAATACAGGCCGCCTAAGGGGGGGGGGGGGGGGGGGGGGGGGGCAGGATGTTTGTATGACGTATGAGTATAAAAGATGGACTCTGAAATTGTGATGGCAGAATTCTCAATGAATAAATCTCTGACTATGCAGACCGGGACTCTGTCCGTTACTTAAATCCCAAAATACTTACAACCTTTTGGGCGATGCACAGAGACACTGAAATAGTTTGTTAAATAATTCACATAACAGCTTGGTCCTTCTGAGCCGGAATCCAATACCTGCTTCTGTCATTCCAGGTAACTCTGAAAACCATCGACGGGCGAATGATACATTGGTAAATAGAAAGTCCTGCCCTTTGACATTAAGGGTTAAGACAGGCCAGAGGACACCTGATTAATGACAGAGACGGTGACAGAATCCAAACCTACATTGAATCTCGGCTGCAAGGATAAGGTCAGTAGTCTTTATTCATTACTAGGTTAAATTGATTTGAGAAATTGCTAAAATATTGAAAAGTAGCAAATTGATCAATGCGTAGCCATTTTAAGTGAAATGTAGGGGACTGTCAGGAATTATCAAGATTACATTGTGGGGATGAATTCCTCCGTAGAGTAGGAGATAATTCTGGGGGACTAGTCAACCTGTTGGTGGGTCCGTAACGATTCACGGTAATAGGCCATTACCAAAAGAAACTACCCGGTGTTGAAATAGAAGGAACTATTAAAAGTACCCCTAAGGGATGTAACCTGTAAGAGATTATAGAACAGTCAACAAATAATCCGGGTTAAACAAATACAAAAAGTACACCAGAAGGAATTAAAATAGCATGTGTGAGAAATAGAATATTAGTAAAGTCAAAAGTCACAAACAACTGTAGATTTTGCCGTAACTCTATCCGTTTCATGAAACTGGAGCCTTACAAACTCCGGGTTACCGATAGTGTTAACCAATAATCATGTAAGGTTGAATACGTGTGAGACATAATATTTGCTCAAAAGTCACATCTATGAATAATTCCAGGTGGTTGTATAGAGAAGAGGGAGAACCCATTCCTGTTGTATGAGACTGTCAGGAATGATCAAGATTACATTGTGGGGATAAATTCCTCCGTAGAGTATGAGATAATTCTTGGGGACTAGTCAAGACTACATATACAGGGAGGGGTGATTCCAGGTGTTGTGGTGTGAAGCTGTTTTGAATTACTTGTTATATTGACTTGTTATATAGAAGAGGTGGCTAGTAGAAGCTAGAAAGCGGGAAGAAGGCAGGAAGAAAAGAGAAGTGAGTGAGAGTGAAAGAGAAGTGAAAGTTGAGGTCTCAGTGCCTTCCCCAGAGCAGAGGGCAGAAAGGTTATATCCAAACTTGGCAGACCAGGCATGGAGAGAAAATCCAGATGATGAGTACGCAGTGAGGAGAAGGGTTTACAACAACGTTTTTCTGGTGGGTTACAATTGATAAAAATGTTGACTGGATTAATTACATCTACAAAGGTTCGTTAATTAGACAAGGGATGCAGTGAAGAGAATCTCAGGCCATTGAGTAAAGAATGGGCTGAGAACGGGGGGGGGGGGTGAATACATCAATGACTGGTTGGTTTGATAAAATGTTTGGTAAATGGAAAACTATTGTTGTAACTATTTTAGGCGCGGCAATCACGTCTATGGGTATGCTTGTTCTTTGTGGATGTTGTCTTATTCCCTGTGTCCGAGGATTGGTGAGCAAGGCGTTGGAGCAGTATCACAGCAGATGGTGAGATACGGCCCAATCCCGGACTCCGACCTAAGGAATGAAGAATATGACCCACCAGGCTTGGTGGAGGACGACGACGATTCAGATAGTTTGAGACTGGATGTTTACCTAGAACTATAAATCTCTAGTTTAAAAGTTATTGTAATTATCTTTTGTGTATTAAAGTCTTGTTTTAAGTATGATGTACTAGTTAACCGATGTTGCAGGATGTGATGAAGCAAATGTTCTTCACTATAGGCTTAGACTGTTGTTTCCAGATAGGGGGTAAACAGGTTAGGTACCATTGCTAAAAAGTAACGTTACACTTTGAATCATGGGGTAACCCTGATGAACCTGTATTGAATGAGACATTTAATGTTTTTATATGCAAACCAACTTATATGCTTCAATGTGTGTGATTCATTTCTATAACAACATATACACTGCTCAAAAAAATAAAGGGAACACTTAAACAACACAATGTAACTCCAAGTCAATCACACTTCTGTGAAATCAAACTGTCCACTTAGGAAGCAACACTGATTGACAATACATTTCACATGCTGTTGTGCAAATGGAATAGACAACAGGTGGAAATTATAGGCAATTAGCAAGACACCCCCAATAAAGGAATGGTTCTGCAGGTGGTGACCACAGACCACTTCTCCGTTCCTATGCTTCCTGGCTGATGTTTTGGTCACTTTTGAATGCTGGCGGTGCTTTCACTCTAGTGGTAGCATGAGACGGAGTCTACAACCCACACAAGTGGCTCAGGTAGTGCAGCTCATCCAGGATGGCACATCAATGCGAGCTGTGGCAAGAAGGTTTGCTGTGTCTGTCAGCGTAGTGTCCAGAGCATGGAGGTGCTACCAGGAGACAGGCCAGTACATCAGGAGACGTGGAGGAGGCCGTAGGAGGGCAACAACCCAGCAGCAGGACCGCTACCTCCGCCTTTGTGCAAGGAGGAGCAGGAGGAGCACTGCCAGAGCCCTGCAAAATGACCTCCAGCAGGCCACAAATGTGCATGTGTCTGCTCAAACGGTCAGAAACAGACTCCATGAGGGTGGTATGAGGGCCCGACGTCCACAGGTGGGGGTTGTGCTTACAGCCCAACACCGTGCAGGACGTTTGGCATTTGCCAGAGAACACAAAGATTGGCAAATTCGCCACTGGCGCCCTGTGCTCCTCACAGATGAAAGCAGGTTCACACTGAGCACATGTGACAGACGTGACAGAGTCTGGAGACGCCGTGGAGAACGTTCTGCTGCCTGCAACATCCTCCAGCATGACCGGTTTGGCGGTGGGTCAGTCATGGTGTGGGGTGGCATTTCTTTGGGGGGCCGCACAGCCCTCCATGTGCTCGCCAGAGGTAGCTTGACTGCCATTAGGTACCGAGATGAGATCCTCAGACCCCTTGTGAGACCATATGCTGGTGCGGTTGGCCCTGGGTTCCTTCTAAATGCAAGACAATGCTAGACCTCATGTGGCTGGAGTGTGTCAGCAGTTCCTGCAAGAGGAAGGCATTGATGCTATGGACTGGCCCGCCCGTTCCCCAGACCTGAATCCAATTGAGCACATCTGGGACATCATGTCTCGCTCCATCCATCAACGCCACGTTGCACCACAGACTGTCCAGGAGTTGGCGGATGCTTTAGTCCAGGTCTGGGAGGAGATCCCTCAGGAGACCATCCGCCACCTCATCAGAAGCATGCCCAGGCGTTGTAGGGAGGTCATACAGGCACGTGGAGGCCACACACACTACTGAGCCTCATTTTGACTTGTTTTAAGGACATTACATCAAAGTTGGATCAGCCTGTAGTGTGGTTTTTCCAAATCCAGACCTCCATGGTTTGATAAATTTGATTTCCTTTGATACTTTTTGTGTGATTTTGTTGCCAGCACATTCAACTATGTAAAGAAAAAAGTATTTAATAAGATTATTTCATTCATTCAGATCTAGGATGTGTTGTTTAAGTGTTCCCTTTATTTTTTTGAGCAGTGTATTTTGTTTGTGTGTAATATTTAGTCAAAGGGTGGATTGATAGATTAATTATTAATGACTAATTATTACACCCAGAAACTGTGTGAAATGTGTTAGAATGTGTGAGTGTAGGACCAGTAAAGACTATGACATTGAGCTACTATTCAGCAATGTGAGTAAGAGTTAGACCAGACAACAAAGGAGAACTGTCTAAACCAAGATAAAGGGGCCTCCCAATTTAGGGAGGAGAGAAACTGTTACGCTTTTTGAGGAGTATGCTGGATATTGTGAGGATGCGATAACTGAAGTTTGCCACCTGGCCGAGCAAGGAGTAGGAAAAGATAAGAACAGTGTGTGACCTAATGGTCAGGAGAGCAGAGGAAAACATGAGCTGAACCGAAGTGTGTGTGGGCTTACAAGATGTGTATAGTGGAAAAATACAGGCCGCCTAAGGGGAGGGGGCAGGATGTTTGTATGACGTATGAGTATAAAAGATGGACTCTGAAATTGTGATGGCAGAATTCTCAATGAATAAATCTCTGACTATGCAGACCGGGACTCTGTCCGTTACTTAAATCCCAAAATACTTACAACCTTTTGGGAGACGCACAGAGACACTGAAATAGTTTGTTAAATAATTCACATAACAGCTATGTAAGGAAGTCTCTAGGTTTTGCTCGCCTGAGCTAGAGTATCTCATGATAAGCTGTAGACCACACTATCTACCAAGATCTATATTTTTCGTAGCTGTCTATTTACCACCACAAACTGATGCTGGCACTAAGACCTCACTCAATGAACTGTATATGGCCATAAGCAAACAGGAAAACGCTCATCCAGAGGCGGCGCTCCTAGTGGCCAGGGACTTTAATCAGTTTTACCTTATTTCTACCAGCATGTTAAAATGTGCAACCAGAGGGAAAGAAACTCTAGACCACCTTTACTCCACACACAGAGACGCGTACAAAGCTCTCCCTCGCCCTCCATTTGGAAAATCTGACCATAATTCTATCCTCATGATTCCTGTTTACAAGCAAAAACTAAAAGCAGGAAGCACCAGTGTCAATAAAAAAGTGGTCAGATGAAGCAGATGCTAAGCTACAGGACTGTTTTGCTAGCACAGACTGGAATATGTTCCGGGATTCTTCCGATGACACACAATTATTTGCTAGGATAATAATTGCTTGTCAATGAATTAAATGTAATACAATGGCAATCCGGGTTATATGTTAGAATCCTACGCGTGAACTGCCGACATTATTACACATATTAATTGATAATGATGGAAAATAGGATATGCATAATTTTTTTTAAATAGTTATATAGATATATATATATAGAGGTGAAAGCATTGGAAATGCTTTTGGCGGTTAATCTGCTTCTGTTTTGTGGGTGGCACTGTGTGCTGTTTTCGATGGATGGGTCCTGGCCTCTCGGGGCTTTAGGGATACGGAGGGACGTGGGTGGGATGCTGATCACTGGGATGACGGCTCAACTTGGGATGGGGAGGGGCTTTAGCGGGGGAATTAGTGGAGAACAATTGAAGGGTTACTCCATAGCAATGCAAATATCACGGTCCAGCTATATGGACACTCAATCATTACGCTATTTTTTATTGGTAAATTTACAAACATATATAATGATAAATAGACTTGAAACTTGTATCTCATTATGGTGTATGTGAAATAAGTATAGCCAGTTATAATTGTAATGGCTTAGCTGATAATAACAAAAGAAGAACAATATTTACATGGCTCAAAGAGAAGGAATATAATATCTATTGTATACAGGAAACTCATTCAACAATTCGAGATGAAGTAGCGTGGAAAAAAGAATGGGGGGGGGGGGGGGGGGGGTATACTTCTCCCATGGGCAAAGAAATTCAAAAGGGGTGATGATATTAATTAATAGTAATTTCGATCCGAATGTGCAAATTGTCCAAATAGATTGACTTTTTCCAACATAACATAGGTACAGCGAATCCCCTTATTGTATGGGACACCTTTAAATGTGCCTTTAGAGGCCATGCAATTCAGTACTCATCTCGAAAACAAAAGCAATTTAGGTCAAAAGAGTTTATACTAAGAAAGGAAATAGAAAGTCTAACAGAACAGATAGATGGCAATAAAAACTGTAACATAGAGGCTCAGAATAAATTAGAGGAAAAACAAAAAGAAATGGAGAAACTTATTCAAGAAAGATCAAGTGTAATATATTATTAAAATAAAGTAAACTGGATGGAATATGGGGGAAAATGCACAAAATTCTTTTTTAATCTTCAACATAGGAATGCTACCAAAAATAACTTAATGAAACTGGTTACAATTGACGGAGTAACCCATAATTCACCAAATGATATTTTGAAGGAAGAAACAAAGTACTTTAAGCATATGTTTTCTTTTCAGTCGCCTCCATCTCCTCTAACTGAAGCTAATTGTAGAGATTTTGTTTTCTATTGATAATGTCAAATTAACAGCCACACAGAAAGACTCATGTGAAGGTGAAATTACAGAGGAGGAACTTCTGGATGCAATTAAAGACTTTAAGTCCGGGAAAACTCCAGGGTTGGATGGCATACCAGTCGAGGTATACCAAACGTTTTTTGATATACTAAGAGGACCGTTATTAGCATGTTTTAACCACTCGTATGTAAATGGTAGATTATCTGACACTCAAGAAGAAGGTCTGATCTCATTATTACTGAAACAGGATACAAGTGGAAAATATAAAGATCCAGTCCATTTACAAAATTGGAGGCCCCTTACACTTCAGTGTTGTGATGCAAAAATCCTAGCAAAATGTATTGTCGGATATTATTCATTCTAATCAGACAGGTTTTTTACATGGAAGATACATTGGAGATAATATCAGGCAAGTATTGGAAACAATAGAACACTATGGAAAATATGGGAAACCAGGCCTGCTATTCATAGCAGACTTCGAAAAGGCATTTGATAAAGTTCGACTGGGGTTTATATATAAATGCCTGGAGCATTTCTCTTATAAAATGGGTCAAAATCATGTATAGTAACCCTAGGTGTAAAATAGTAAATAATGGCTATTTCTCAGAAAGTTTTAAACTGTCAAGAGGAGTGAAACAAGGTTGTCCACTATCTATTTATTGTGGCCATCGAGATGTTAGCTATTAAAATCAGATCCAATAATAATATCAGAGGATTAGAAATACAGGGCTTAAAAACAAAGGTGTCATTGTACGCTGATGATTCATGTTTTCTTTTAAATCCACAACTAGAATCCCTCCACAGCCTCATAGAGGATCTAGATACATTTTCTAACCTCTCTGGATTACAACCAAATTATGACAAATGTACTATATTACGTATTGGATCACTAAAAAATACAATTTTTACATTACCATGTAGTTTACCAATAAAATGGTCTGATGGTGATGTGGATATACTCGGAATACATATCCCAAAGGAAATAAATGATCTCACTTCAATACATTTTAATAGAAAGTTAGCAAAAATAGATAAGATCTTACTACCATGGAAAGGAAAATACCTGTCAATTTGTGGAAAAATCACCCTGATGAACTCTTTAGTATTATCCCAGTTTACCTACAGTGGGGGAAAAAAGTATTTAGTCAGCCACCAATTGTGCAAGTTCTCCCACTTAAAAAGATGAGAGAGGCCTGTAATTTTCATCATAGGTACACGTCAACTATGACAGACAAATTAAGAGAAAAGAAATCCAGAAAATCACACTGTAGGATTTTTAATGAATTTATTTGCAAATTATGGTGGAAAATAAGTATTTGGTCACCTACAAACAAGCAAGATTTCTGGCTCTCACAGACCTGTAGCTTCTTCTTTAAGAGGCTCCTCTGTCCTCCACTCGTTACCTGTATTAATAGCACCTGTTTGAACTTGTTATCAGTATAAAAGACACCTGTTCACAACCTCAAACAGTCACACTCCAAACTCCACTATGGCCAAGACCAAAGAGCTGTCAAAGGACACCAGAAACAAAATTGTAGACCTGCACCAGGCTGGGAAGACTGAATCTGCAATAGGTAAGCAGCTTGGTTTGAAGAAATCAACTGTGGGAGCAATTATTAGGAAATGGAAGACATACAAGACCACTGATAATCTCCCTCGATTTGGGGCTCCACGCAAGATCTCACCCCGTGGGGTCAAAATGGTCACAAGAACGGTGAGCAAAAATCCCAGAACCACACGGGGGGACCTAGTGAATGACCTGCAGAGAGCTGGGACCAAAGTAACAAAGCCTACCATCAGTTACACACTACGCCGCCAGGGACTAAAATCCTGCAGTTCCAGACGTGTCCCCCTGCTTAAGCCAGTACATGTCCAGGCCCGTCTGAAGTTTGCTAGAGTGCATTTGGATGATCCAGAAGAGGATTGGGAGAATGTCATATGGTCAGATGAAACCAAAATAGAACTTTTTGGTAAAAACTCAACTCGTCGTGTTTGGAGGACAAAGAATGCTGAGTTGCATCCAAAGAACACCATACCTACTGTGAAGCATGGGGGTGTAAACATCATGCTTTGGGGCTGTTTTTCTGCAAAGGGACCAGGACGTCTGATCCATGTAAAGGAAAGAATGAATGGGGCCATGTATCGTGAGATTTTGGGTGAAAACCTCCTTCCATCACCAAGGGCATTGAAGATGAAACGTGGCTGGGTCTTTCAGCATGACAATGATCCCAAACACACCGCCCGGGCAACGAAGGAGTGGCTTCGTAAGAAGCATTTCAAGGTCCTGGAGTTGCCTAGCCAGTCTCCAGATCTCAACCCCATAGAAAATCTTTGAGGGAGTTGAAAGTCCTGTGTTGCCCAGCGACAGCCCCAAAACATCACTGCTCTAGAGGAGATCTGCATGGAGGAATGGGCCAAAATAGTGTGTGAAAACCTTGTGAAGACTTACAGAAAACATTTGACCCGTGTCATTGCCAACAAAGGGTATATAACAAAGTATTGAGAAACTTTTGTTATTGACCAAATACTTATTTTCCACCATAATTTGCAAATAAATTCATAAAAAATCCTACAATGTGATTTTCTGGATTTTTTCTCTCTCATTTTGTCTGTCATAGTTGACGTGTACCTATGATGAAAATTAAAGGCCTCTCTCATCTTTTTAAGTGGGAGAACTTGCACAATTGGTGGCTGACTAAATACTTTTTTTCCCCACTGTATTTGCTTATGGTCTTGCCTACGCCTAGCGAACAGTTTTTTAAATTATATGAGAAAAAAATATTCAATTTTATTTGAAACGGCAAGCCAGACAAAATTAAAAGGGCATATTTATATAATGAATATGAATTCGGAGGACAGATATTATTAAATATTAAAGCATTAGACCTATCACTAAAAGCTTCAGTCATACAAAAGTTATACTTAAATCCGAACTGGTTCTCAAGAAAATTAGTAAGATTGTCTCACCCAATGTTCAAGAAAGGCCTTTTTCCCTTTATTCAGATTACAACCTCTCACTTTCAGTTATTTGAAAAGGAAATAATCTCCCAAATATCACTATTTCTAAAACAAGCCATAGAAAGTTGGTTGCAATTTCAATTTAATCCTCCAGAAACGACAGAACAAATAATGCAACAAATATTGTGGTTAAATTCAAATATACTAATTGACAAAAAACCTTTATTTTTTGACAGAATGTTTAAAAAAGGTATAATCTTCGTAAATGATATCATCGGTAGGACTGGTGGAGTTATGTCGCACATGCAGCTAACAAAAACATATGGAAATGTCTGCTCTACCCAAAATTACAACCAAATAATTGCAGCCTTACTGCAAAAGTGGAAGAGGAAAGTGGAAGGGGGAGAAAGTAAGGAACTTGTCTGTCGGCCTTGCATTAAAGAACATAATTGGTTAAGGAAAACTGTGATAAATAAAAAAGTATGTCAGTTTCACTTAAGGACCAAAGGATTGACAGCCGTCCCATATAGATTGCAAAATAGTTGGGAAGAGATCTTTGACGTACCGATCCCATGGCATAGTGTTTATGAACTGACACGCAAAACGACACCGGATTCAAAAATGTGAATCTTTCAATTTCAATTATTATATAAAATTCTTGCTACCAATAGAATGTTATTTATATGGGGGATACAATCTTCCCAGCTCTGCAGATTTTGCTGTGAAGAGACAGAATCATTAGATCATTTGTTTTGGTTCTGTCCATTTGTAGCTTGTTTTTGGACACAGGTCCAGGAATGGCTAAAGGATTGCAATATTTACCTGGAGCTAACCTTGCAGATAGTATTACTGGGTGATCTGAAAAGTCATAGTCAATCAAACAATAAAATTCAGAAAATCTTACAAAAAATGAAGGACTAACCAAAAAGAGCTTCTGGATATCAGGACAGCGATTACTCACCTCGTATTGGACGAAGGTTTTTCTTCAACAAGGCGGCTGCGAAAGATATCATACAGACACCCGACAAGGCCCAAATCCCCGTCATTCGCGTGAGGAAGAGACGGAGATATCGTGGACGTAGATCGGGGTGCCTTGTAAGTATCCGACGGCGAGCGAGTAAACTGCCTCTTCCATCAATCCTATTAGCCAATCTTCAATCATTGGATAACAAATTGGATGACCTAAGATTACGGTTATCCTACCAACGGGACATTAAAAACTGTAATATCTTATGTTTCACCGAGTCGTGGCTGAACGACGACAATGATAACATACAGCTAGCGGGCTATACGCTACATCGGCAGGATAGAACGGCTGACTCCGGTAAGACAAGGGGTGGCGGTCTGTGTATATTTGTAAACAACAGCTGGTGCACAAAATCAAATACTAAGGAAGTCTCGAGGTTTTGCTCGCCTGAGGTAGAGTATCTTATGATAAGCTGTAGACCACACTATTTACCAAGAGAGTTTTTATCTATATTTTTCATAGCTGTCTATTTACCACCACAAACCAATGCTGGCATTAAGATTGCACTGAATGAGTTGTACAAGGCCATAAATCAACAGGAAAACCCTCATCCAGATGCAGCGCTCCTAGTGGCCGGGGACTTTAATGCAGGGAAACTTAAATCCGTTCTACCTAATTTCTACCAGCATGTTAAATGTGCAACCAGAGGAAAAAAACTCTAGACCACCTTTACTCCACACACAGAGACGCATACAAAGCTCTCCCTCGCCCTCCATTTGGCAAATCTGACCATAACTCTATCCTCCTGATTCCTGCTTATAAGCAAAAACTAAAGCAGGAAGCACCAGTGACTCGGTTAATAAAAAAGTGGTCAGATGACGCAGATGCTAAGCTACAGGACTGTTTTGCTAGCACAGACTGGAACATGTTCCGGGATTCTTCAGACAGCATTGAGGAGTATACCACATCAGTCACTGGCTTCATCAATAAGTGCATCGATGATGTCGTCCCCACAGTGACCGTACGTAAATACCCCAACCAGAAGCCATGGATTACAGACAACATCCGCACTGAGATAAAAGGGTAGAGCTGCCGCTTTCAAGGAGCAGGACTCTAACCCGGAAGCTTATAAGAACTCCCACTATGCCCTACGACGAACCATCAAACAGGCAAAGCGTCAATACAGGACTAAGATCGAATCGTACTACACCGGCTCCGACGCTCGTCGGATGTGGCAGGGCTTGCAAACTATTACAGACTACAAAGGGAAGCACAGCCGCGAGCTGCCCAGTGACACGAGCCTACCAGACGAGCTAAATTACTTCTATGCTCACTTCGAGGCAAGCAACACTGAAACATGCATGAGAGCATCAGCTTTCGTAGCCGATGTTTTTTTATTTATTTTTTTTATTTTATTTAACCTTTATTTAACCAGGTAAACCAGTTGAGAACAAGTTCTCATTTACAACTGCGACCTGGCCAAGATAAAGCAAAGCAGTGCGATAAAAACAACAACACAGAGTTACATATGGGGTAAAACAAAACAAAGTCAAAAAAAATACAACAGAAATACATATATATACAGTGTGTGCAAATTTAGCAAGTTATGGAGGTAAGGCAATAAAATAGGCTATAGTGCAAAATAATTACAATTAGTATTAACACTGGAATGATAGATGTGCAAGAGATGATGTGCAAATAGAGATACTGGGGTACAAATGAGCAAAATAAATAACAATATAGGGATGAGGTAGTTGGGCGGGCTAATTTCAGATGGGCTGTGTACAGGTGCAGTGATCGGTAAGGTGCTCTGACAACTGATGCTTAAAGTTAGTGAGGGAGATAAGTGTCTCCAGCTTCAGAGATTTTTGCAATTTGTTCCAGTCATTGGCAGCAGAGAACTGGAAGGAATTGCGGCCAAAGGAGGTGTTGGCTTTGGGGATGACCAGTGAGATATACCCGCTGGAGCGCAGACTACGGGTGGGTGTTGCTATGGTGACCAATGAGCTAAGATAAGGCGGGGATTTGCCTAGCAGTGATTTATAGATGGCCTGGAGCCAGTGGGTTTGGCGACGAATATGTAGTGAGGACCAGCCAACAAGAGCGTACAGGTCACAGTGGTGGGTATTATATGGGGCTTTGGAGACAAAACGGATGGCACTGTGATAGACTACATCCAATTTGCTGAGTAGAGTGTTGGAGGCTATTTTGTAAATGACATCGCCGAAGTCAAGGATCGGTAGGATAGTCCGTTTTACGGTTATAATATCGTTTAGGACCTTGAGCGTAGCTGAAGTGCACCCATGACCAGCTCGGAAACCGGATTGCATAGCGGAGAAGGTACGGTGGGATTCGAAATGGTCGGTGATCTGTTTGTTGACTTGGCTTTCAAAAACTTTTGAAAGGCAGGGCAGGATGGATATGGGTCTGTAACAGTTTGGATCTAGAGTGTCACCCCCTTTGAAGAGGGGGATGACCGCGGCAGCTTTCCAATCTCTGGGGATCTTAGACGTTACGAAAGAGAGGTTGAACAGGCTAGTAATAGGGGTTGCGACAATTTCGGCGGCTAGTTTTAGAAAGAAAGGGTCCAGATTGTCTAGCCCAGATGATTTGTAGGGGTCCAGATTTTGCAGCTCTTTCAGAACATCAGCTGTCTGGATTTGTGTGAAGGAGAAGCGGGGGGGGCATGGGCAAGTTGCAGCGGAGGGTGCAGAGCTGGTGGCCGGGGTAGTGGTAGCCAGGTGGAAAGCATGGCCAGCCGTAGCAAAATGCTTGTTGAAATTCTCGATTATTGTAGATTTATCGGTGGTGATAGTGTTTCCTAGCCTCAGTGCAGTGGGCAGCTGGGAGGAAGTGCTCTTATTTTCCATGGACTTTACAGTGTCCCAAAACTTTTTGGAGTTAGTGCTACAGGATGCAAATTTCTGTATGCAAATTTCTGATGTGAGTAAGACCTTTAAACAGGTCAACATCCACAAAGCCGCAGGGCCAGATGGATTACCAGGACGTGTACTCCGAGCATGTGCTGACCAACTGGCAAGTTTCTTCACTGACATTTTCAACCTCTCCGTGTCTGAGTCTGTAATCCTAACATGTTTCAAGCAGACCACCATAGTCCCTGAACCCAAGAACACAAAGGTAACCTGCATAAATGACTACTGACCCAAAGCACTTATGTATGTAGCCATGAAGTGCTTTTAAAGGCTGGTCATGGCTCACATCAACACCATTATCCCAGAAACGCTAGACCCACTCTAATTTGCATATCACCCCAACAGATCCACAGATGATGTAATCTCTATTGCGCTCCACACTGCCCTTTCACACCTGGACAAAAGGAACACCTATGTGAGAATGCTATTCATTGACTACAGCTCAGCGTTCAACACCATAGTGCCATCAAAGGTCATCATTAAGCTAAGGACCCTGGGACTAAACACCTCCCTCTGCAACTGGATCCTGGACTTCCTGACGGGCCCCAACCAAGTGGTAAGGGTAGGTAACAACACATCCGTCACGCTGATCCTCAACACAGGGGCCCCTCAGGGGTGCGTGCTCAGTCCCCTCCTGTACTCCCTGTTCACTCATGACTGCATGGCTAGGCACGACTCAATCACCATCATTAAGTTTGCCGTTGACACAACAGTGGTAGGCCTGATCACCAACAACGACGAGACAGCCTATAGGGAGGAGGTCAGAGACCTGGCCGTGTGTGCCAGGACAACAACCTCTCCCTCAATGTGATCAAGACAAAGGAGATGATTGTGGACTACAGGAAAAATAAGAGGACAGAGCACGCCCCCATTCTCATCGACGTGGCTGTAGTGGAGCAGGTTGAGAGCTTCAAGTTCCTTGGTGTCCACATCACCAACAAACTAACATGGTCCAAGCACACCAAGACAGTCGTGAAGAGGGCACGACAAAACCTATTCCCCCTAAGGAGACAGAAAAGATTTGGCATGGGTCCTCAGATCCTCAAAAGGTCCTACAGTTGCACCATCGAGAGCATCCTGACTGGTTGCATCACTGCCTGGTATAGCAACTGCTCAGCCTCTGACCGCAAGGCACTACAGAGGGTAGTGCGTACGGCCCAGTACATTACTGGGGCCAAGCTTCCTGCCATCCAGGACCTCTATACCAGGCGGTGTCAGAGGAAGGCCTCTGTTGTCAAAGACTTCAGCCACCCTAGCCATAGCCTGTTCTCTCTGCTACCGCACGGAAAGTGGTACCGGCGCGCCAAGTCTAGGTCCAAGAGGCTTCTAAACAGCTTCTACCCCCAAGCCATAAGACTCCTGAACATCTAATCAAATGGCTACCCAGACTATTTGCACCCCATCTTTTTACACTGCTGCTACTCTCTGTTTATTATCTATGCAGTCACTTTAATAACTCTACATGTACATATTACCCCAATTACCTCGACTAACCGGTGCCCCCGCACATTGATTCGGTACCGGTACCCCTGTATATAGCCTCGCTATTGTTATTTTTATTGCTGCTCTTTAAATTTTTATTGCTGCTCTTTAATTATTATACTTTTATTTAGTATTATTGTATTTTTATTTTTGTTGTTTTAAAAAACATGTTATATTTAATATTTCTTTATTTTTGGGGGGGGTATTCTTTCTTAAAACTGCATTGTTGGTTAAGGGCTTGTAAGTAAAACATTACAGCAGGGACTGTGAAGAGAAACACACACAGGCACACGCATATACACACACGATAACATACGCACTATACACACACGTACACATGGATTTTGTGTTAGTAGAGTAGTGGCCTGAGGACACACACTTAATGTGTTGTGAAATGTAATGTCATGTTTTTAATTGTATATAACTGCCTTAATTTTGCTGGACCACAGGAAGAGTAGCTGCTGCCTTGGAAGCAGCTGATGGGAATCCATAATAAATACAAATAGTCATTGAACACTGGTCACTTTAATAATGTTTACATATACTGTTTTACCCACTTCATATGTACAGTATATAATGTATTCTAGTCAAGGCTCATCCTATATAACTACTGCTGTACACACCTTTTCTATTCATATACTGTCCATACTGTCTATACACACCATCATATACAGTATGTAGACATTCTAAACAAAGTGTTTTGATAACTTTCAAGTCTAACAGTTCCATGTAGAATAAACCATACTTCACACAATACTTTAGAAGCAGTGTTCTGCTTATATACCAATGTGCAAATATTATACCTTCATGTATGGTGTTCCGTATAAGACAGGACTTCCCTGACATGTTTGAAGAATACACAGTACCATTCGATTCAATAATAACAAAAGACGATAGAAAGTAATAGATGTCTTGTATAATTGTAATGCTGGGTGCCAATTCAGACATCAGTATCAACCTGTCAGTCAGAGGACTCCATTTAAAAAGCATATATTCTGCCCATCTGTAGAAAAACAAGGAAGAGTTGATGAGTGACACATATTGAAAGGGTGATATTACTAAATACTTGTGATGTACTGTCTTATTAGTAATCACCTTATGTCCCTTCTAAGGTGTTTGCAAATGCCTGCTGGGGATGGCAGCGTATATCTGCTCCAGGCCCCTCTCATCATAGATACTGGTCTAGAAGGAGCCTGACTTCGGCTCCTATATCCGACCCAGCTCCTATATCACAAAAGGAGGGAGAGAGAGAGAGAAAGACTGTCACCATACAGTCATAGAAGCAAACAGTAAATACACGGTTGAACATAGCCAATCAGAAATCCTGATCCACAGCTAATTCACAAGGAACACGTGCCAGCATGGCACTGACCGGTTGGCATTACTCACTCAGGCCCAGGAGCAACGTTCCCTCTAAGCCGCAAGCGCAGGCGAGCAGCTTCCCTCGGACTGCCATGTTGAAGAAGTATCAGCCCGCTCAGAGAAGCACTAGACTGAACTTCACTCAACTTTCTAGAGTTTTCCCCTTTAGTTAACACTATCAACGTTTCGCTCTAGTGTGGGAATTGTGATCAAATCAACGCAATATTAGCCACTTTCAATGTAACATACCGTAACAAAACGAACTATGCAAGACATAGTATACAAAACGAACTTTGCAAGAGATTGTCTTGTAGGCAGAGCGCATTGGAGTAGGATTCTATTGCATTGACAGGCATGACTCAGGCCCATACTCTACACAGTCCGGTGCGCCATAACCAATCAGAGCTGCAGTAGGCCTATATGTAAATAGCCATCGCCTTATATGGATCTGTGCCATTTACTTTAAACTGGACTGTGTTCAGGCTACAGTATGAGCGGTCGCCAATATATGCACTTGTTTTGAGATCAAAGCGAGAGCTGCATGTAGCCACGTGTGCACATTTGTTCATATTCTTTGCTAGTTAGTGAGTTATTAGCCCACTTATAGCTAATTCCTAGTCAACAATGGGGGAGTGGTTGCTTCCAACAAGAGCACAAAATGTTTGCATTTCTAGACATACTTGAAAAGCAAGTCAGGTAAAGAGCTTTTTTATGTCTTAAAGGGGCAGTGTTGTATTTTGAGACTTCTTGAATAAGCTAAGTAGCCAATAGGCAGAACGTAGCATAATGGTATGGGAATAATAATGCATTTTATTTTGTAAAGTAGTTTCTTGCATCAAACAACATTTTCAGTCACGTCCTTGTCTGAAAGACAAGTGGATAAACAGGTTAATGTCAAGCTCTTCATGTTTTTTCCAAAAGTCTCATGGAATGTAGGCCTACATTGAACACCACACATTGGCTGCTACTGTAGGCAACATTTCCATGTTAACATGTTATGGGATGCATTTTCTCCATTGTTTTTTTATGGTAGGCCACTCTGGTAGGTCTACATTATGATCAAATAGCCGCAGTAGCCTACTTGGCCACTTAAAACTGGAACTTAAAGAGGGTACCGCCTCAGTGTTCACATTAAACGTGCACCGGAAGTTGCACAGAATTTTCACAACATTCAAGTTTACGCTCAGTAGACCTGAAATTTGCTCAGTGCTGAATTTTTTTTGAGGGAACATTGCCCAATAGTAGTCCATTGGCACAGAGGAAGGGGACACCTCCTTATAACATACAAGACACACAGCACTGATTACATTATCATTGGTGGTTAGGTGAATTCCAGGATGGACAGTATTTGTACCATTGACCAGATAAAATGTGACCAACCTGATTCAAGTGTCCTCCATTACTCTGAAGAGGGACTGGTTTCTGGCCACTGCCTCAGCCTTCTGAAATAGGGGGGGGGGGGGGGGGGGGGGGGGGTTCTCACGATGCTGCTGAACAACAAATCCACCAGGTTTTGTACGTGGCTTGTGAATAAAATAATATATCATCACTCAAACATATAGCGAGAAAAATCTAGTTTGGAAGTAATGTATATGCTAATAGAGTAACTACAGAATTGATTCATGCCCGTGACGCCTACGCGGTTTCTAGCTGTGTACATTGCTGAATGCTTGCTGGTACGTTTTGCTATTTGCTGCCAGAGCCATAGCTATATTTGTAGTAGACAAGTACCATCCTTCATTTATTTTTACACGATAAACGTTTATGAGAACAGGCATCTTGTTTTCGGTTAGCAGACGAAGCCCCCTAGCTAGCTAGCTACCTAACTTGCACATCTGGGTTAGTTATCATACTGTATCTTTGTCCGAGTTTAAATGAGTTGGCTACCTAGCTAACGATAGTTAACGTTAGCTAGCCAGTTCAAGTTGAAACATTATTGAAAGCAAGTTGGCTACATCCTATGATTAGCTAGCAAGCTAGTATCCAAGTGCCTGACCTGACCTGTATTGACCCTGAATGCCAATGACCTACAGTTAGCTGTTGTTAGCAAGGTAGCTAGCTAGCGTGAGCTATGCACATCTTCCTGTGACATGCTACATCACATTATGCGTTAGCTTGGTGTATTTAGCTAGCTACAGTATCATTCCCATTTCATATGTGGTATCATTGCTAGGCTGGCTCGCTAGCATGATCAAATAATGTTTACCAAAAGTAGAAGCTAGCTAGTACCAGCGATTTATTTAGCTAATATACTCACCAACATCAGTGGTTTGACGATTGACAGGCATCAGAAATTACTGTGTCGTAGGTAATCCATTCCTGGCCATCTGGCAATATTGTTGAAATGCATGGAAGTTTGCATCAGCTTTATGGATGCCCATTTTCAGTCCTTTTTGCCGAGCTAAATGTGCGTGCGTTGCACCCATACGCAGACTTGACAACAAAATGTCCACATGGCAGCTGGGGGCGGACCACAACGTGTAGTCTCTGGGAAATTGGGCATCATTGGTAAAAGTGGGCATGTGAATAATCCATACCCAACCCTCTAGTAAATCATGACGAACTCACAATTTTGACACTATAATTCATGTTTGACTCATATCGATGCCACATAGGCCATTTAAAACCAGATAAGTGGTTCTAAGGGCCAGTTGACCTTTAAACATTATTGCAGAAATTCCAGCTATCACAGAGTAAGGAGGTGGAGCTACAGTATTACCCTATTGCTAACCTTCCCACTAACCTATCCAATCCTTTTAGATCCACTAATTGGTAGAGGTCATTTTGGGAGCCACTCACCTCAGGCATCAGGTAGGGGTCGTTCTGCAGCAGTAGTGGGAACAGCTCTGCCTCCTCCAGGTCATGGTGACCCACGCTCATTATAAGAGCTGTGTTGTGTGGGGAATCTAGTCTGTGGGCATTTTTGCACTTGTTCCTGGTGTTTAAAGAGAAATGCGAACATTGTAAGTACATGGACAAAAGATGTGCAAATTAAACCAAGACAACAGAAGACAGTCACATGACTAACTTTCAAATGTTAGTCAGGTCAACAAATGATGTTGGCGCCTTATCTATTCACTAACTAGTCCAATGAAAGCTTATTATATCTGATACTCATTGCATGAGATTTCAAAGGAATGACTCACAGGGCCAGTTACATTACATTACATTTACGTCATTTAGCACTTATCCAGAGCGACTTACAAATAGGTGTGTGTGTGTAGTCAAAGTGTAAGCAGCTTCTACACCCAAATTATGAATAGACATAACTACATTCGATTTACTGCTGAAGTAAAATGTGTTTTACATTGGATATCCAGTTCTCTGTCAATAGCTATTGAACCAAGCATGCCATGACTCTGAAAAGTGTATATTCTGAATCAGGGGTGGATGGAGAACAATCCACTACTTTATTTTATTTTTTGATTAATAAAATACAGATTTGGGATTTCAATAGCTCTTAGACAAAGCGTGCCATGACTATGAAAAATATAATTCTAAATCAGGGGAGGATGGAGGATAGAGCCCCCCTCTCCATCCTCCCCTGATTCATAATATATACTTTTCATAGTCATGGCACGCCTTGTTTAAGAGCTATTCAATATTTAAATTCGATTTTTGTCATTAAAAATAAAAGTAGCAGACTGTTCTCCATCCACCCGATTCAGAATATACCATTTTAATAGTCATGGCATGCTTGGTTCAATAGCTATTGATGAGAGAACCGAAAATCCAATATAAAACCAATTTTACCTCGGTGTATTTACCTATGATATGAAACATCTGCAGTTCCACTATGAAATAATTTTTTTTATGTTTCTATAGTCTAACTGAACATGACACTTACCCGAACTTGCAGTTACCGCATACAAAGTATCTGCACAGGTGTAAGTTCTCGCACTGAAGACAATCGCCAGGAGGGCTTTGACAGACTCGCAGTGAAGTCTTGGCAACAATAACACTGTCCTGGCTCATAACGAGACGCGAGGCCTTTCCTTCGCCTTTACTGATGGCATATTTTCCTCTGTCACAAAGTATTCCAAGTAGGACCTCATCTGCCACAGTGAACTTTTGACCAACGATCTGGTCAAGCTCCTTGAAGTCCAAGCATCCTTGATTTCCACAAAGAATTTTTGTAACATATCGAGACACAACAGACGACATCTTGTTCCGGTAGGGCAAATTATATCTTATGATCCTCACCTCACCCAATTTGCAATTGGTCGTCAGTCACACTTATGGAGAAACGAAACTGAAAGTCAAAGCTCGAGTCATGCCATTTAAACCGGTTTCCACTAGATTTCCCAGCCACAACGTCAAAATTGGCTATAATATTGTAAAAATTCACGATTGTTTTTACATTTTGTCTTTTTGGCTAGGCATAAGGTTAGCAGTGCGGTTAAGGTTAGGTTTAACATTTAAAGAAGATAAATTGTAGAAATAGGCGGGGTTTATGACTGTGGAAGCTAGTGACCAGGTCCTAGTGACGACCCTTTAAACCTCTGCTTTCAACATGGACAATTTGGTATTTGTTGAAATTTCACACCACCCGGTCCTCTGTTTATATGACTCACATAGGATTTTGCATAACCTCTGCTTTTTATTCCACTGTGTTATGTAAAACATGAAATAAAGTACATTGATGTAATAATACCTAATGGTCACATGATGGCAATACAGTATTGTAAAGAACAATATCAGAACTACGCAGACAACTTTTGTTACATGTCAAGGTGCTTCTACAACATATTGACTCAGGGGTGTGAATACTTATGTAAATGAGACATTTTCAATAAATTACCAAACATTTCTAAAAACATGTTTTCATTTTGTCATTATGGGGTATTGTGTGTGCAGATGGGTGAGAGAAAAAAATCAATTTAATCAATTTAAAATTCAGGCTGTAAGGCAACAAAATGTGGAATAAGTCAAGGGGTATGAATACTTTATGAAGGCACTATATGGAGCAGCACTAACTATACGACAGACTTTTAAATATGGGCTAGCTGCTAGAGAATGAGGAACTCACAATAATGGCATTTACTACAGTTGAAGTCTGAAGTTTACATACACTTAGGTTGGAGTCATTAAAACTCGTTTTTCAACCACTCCACAAATTTCTTGTTAACAATCCATAGTTTTGGCAAGTCGGTTAGGACATCTACTTGTACATGACACAAGTAATTTTTCCAACAATTTTTCCAGACAGATTATTTCCCTTATAATTAACTTTATCACAATTCCAGTGGGTCAGAAGTTTACATACACTGAGTTGACTGTGCCTTTAAACAGCTTGGAAAATCCCAGAAAATGATGTCATGGTTTTAGAAGCTTCTGATAGGCCAATTGACATCATTTGAGTCAATTAGGGGTGTAAATGTGGATTTATTTCAAGGCCTACCTTCAAACTCAGTGCCTCTTTGCTTGACATCATCGGAAAATCAAAATAAATCAGCCAAGACCTCAGAAAAAACTATTGTAGACCTCCACAAGTCTGGTTTATCCTTGGGAGCAATTTCCAAACGCCTGAAGGTACCACGTTCATCTGTACAAACAATAGTACGCAAGTATAAACACCATGGGACCACGCAGCCGTCATACCGCTCAGGAAGGAGACGCGTTCTGTCTCCTAGAGATGAAGGTACTTTGGTGCAAAAAGTGCAAATCAATCCCAGAACAACAGCAAAGGACCTTCTGAAGATGCTGGAGGAAACAGGTACAAAGTATCTATAGCCACAGTAAAACGAGTCCTATATCGACAACCTGAAAAGGCCACTCAGCAAGGAAGAAGCCACTGCTCCAAAACCGGCATAAAAAAGCCAGACTACGGTTTGCAACTGCACATGGGGACAAAGATCTTAATTTTTTTAGAAATGTCCTATGGTCTGATGAAACAAAAATAGAACTGTTTGGCCATAATGACCATTGTTATGTTTGGAGGAAAAAGGAGGCTTGCAAGCCAAAGACCACCATCCCAACCGTGAAGCACGGGGATGGCAGCATCATGCTGTGGGGGTGCTTTGCTGCAGGAGGGACTGGTGCACTTCACAAAATAGATGGCATCATGAGGAAGGAAAATTATGTGGATAAATTAAAGCAACATCTCAAGACATTGGTCAGGAAGTTAAAGCTTGGTCGCAAATGGGTCTTCCAAATGGACAATGACCCCAAGCATACTTCCAAAGTTGTGGCAAAATGGCTTAAGGACAACAAAGTCAAGGTATTGGAGTGGCCATCACAAAGCCCTGACCTCAATCCTATAGAAAATGTGTGGGCAGAACTGAAAAGGCGTGTGCGAGCAAGGAGGCCTACAAACCTGACTCAGTTACACCAGCTCTGTCAGGATGAATGGACCAAAATTCACCCAACTTATTGTGGGAAGCTTGTGGAAGGCTACCCAAAACATTTGACCCAAGTTAAACAATTTAAAGGCAATGCTACCAAATACTAATTGAGTGTATGTAAACTTCTGACCCACTGGGAATGTGATGATATAAATAAATCATTCTCTCTACTATTATTCTGACATTTCACATTCTTAAAATAAAGTGGTGATCCTAACTGACCTAAAACAGGGAATTTTTACTAGGATTAAATGTCAGGAATTGTGAAAAACTGAGTTTAAATGTATTTGGCTAAGGTGTATGTAACGACTTCAACTGTTTATGCAACCCCTTAATTTGTGTGCATTGAATGGTGCAGATTATTCTTATGGACTTTTTTAACATGTCAGCTTAGGTCTTATACCTGTTTTCCTCAGAGTAAGATGTAATAATGTACATTAACTTGAAAATGAGTTGTAAATAGTGAAGTATGTCCTGTAACACAATGACCAATGATCTAACAGATGTTTGTAGTGCTGCTGACAACATCCACAGTGCTCATTTTATCACAAGAGGACAAGGCCACTTCTGACTGAACAAACTATTTCCTTTATTAGAAAGAAAAACGTTTGAGGAACAACCCTCAGAGCTCTAAAAGTTGTTAAGATGTTACATGCCAAATATACAGTTCTATACATAAAAGTGCAATGTCACAATGTATAAGCAGTATCTTTTTCTAAAATTGCATCTTTATTAATTAATTCATCTACTGCTCATAACACAGGGTCTGAAATGAGAATGCAACAGTACAGAACATAGTTCAAGTTCCTCTAAAACATTTTCAAAGGCACTTTCACGTGTACATACTACAGATGTACATGGACACAAAGTTAGTCAACAGGCAGGACGCTCCTGCTAACTGTGTATGATTGGCATATAGAGAGACAACACAGAATACAATAGGCTCATATTCATTTGGAGACACTGAAGCAAAACGGAAAACTAAATGAGTGTTTCTTCTTGGGGTACACCCTCCCTGTTTGTCAGTTTTCTTCCATTTGGTGCCGAATGAATACGATCCAGGTTTGGGTGGGACACCTGTAACTTTCAAGACTCTGCATTGGACTTTTGAATTTCTACATCCTTTGTTCAAAAAATCCTATTCAATTCCAACAAAACTAAAATCTTAAACAAATAAAAATTACAACATTCTGAAAAAAGGGTTGTAATCCAGAATTCAGATCATATTCACTTTTAATATACATACCTTTTTTGCAACAGACAAAGATAAACCTGTTGCAGTTTGTATTTCAAGGAAACCATTGCTTATTGTAAATTTGAGACAATGCTTTTTTTGTCCTTGCTCTTTAACCAGATGCAAGCTTCCCCACACATGCACCTATCAGTCTCCTTTCTTTAGCTACACAGCACTTCCAAAACAGACTTATAGAGGGCACTGTCACAGAATTGGAAAACAGGGGGACATACAGTTACAGTATGAGTAGGCCAGTTCCCTTGGTGGTCAGTTGTCACATACACCCACATCATGTGACATGG